CCTGCCTGGGGCCTCCCACCTGCGCTGCAATCATATGTGAAATGTCAGAGACTCCAACGGGCATCAATCTGTACCTTCTGTGGCAAGCACCCAGATGGCCCTCCACAGCTGACGGCAGCAGGAGGCTGTATTTCCTGTGGCCTGACACGGTACCCAGGGCTGAGGAGGCCTAAGACCAGGATGAAACTCCCTGTGTCATTGGGCCTTGCCAAGTTCCTCCTACACTGATTTCTCTCACACCCTCCCCCTCCAGTCACTTCCCTCCTTCAATATCTTGCTCACATTTTCAAATTCCTTAGACTTTGATTTATTAATAACTTTATCTTGTTTTTTAATAGATTAAAAATGATCAAGAGTCATTGTCCAATATGGGAGCCACCAGCCACATGTGATCTTTATATTTAAATTAATTAAAATGAAATAAAGTTAAAAATTCAGTTCTTTAGATGCTCCAGCCACATGTCAAGTACTCAGTGGCCGCCTGTGGCTAATGGTTACCCCACTGGACAGTGCAGAGGACAGACCCATTGCCCCAGAGAGCTCTCCTGGTCAGCTCTGATCTGGAAGCTATAAAGGCAGCATCTGCCTCTACTGTCTGTCCCTAGACATCCTCCCAGAGGTGATCTTGCTGCCAGGCTCCTTTGTGTCCCTACAGGGATTTTCTTCTGTCTACACAAGTGTTGCAAATCTCTTACTGAAACAAATAAGACCCTAAACACTGTTTTGCCCCATGCATTCCTCACTGAATGAACCTTGAAGATCACAATGTAAGTGCACACATAGTGCTTCATTCTTCTGAGTGTCCTCCCAGCAATCCTCTGTCACTGGGACAACCACCTCCACTCCCGCCTTAGAACCACACTCCCACTCCTGTGTCCGCTGCGTGGTGCCCAAGCACTTTCATGCTACTCTCAGTCTCCACACCCTCAGACTATTCCAACTCTTCCCCTCACCTTGTTGCCTCTTCGATGCACATTCACAGAGCCCGTCTTCCTCCCAGTGAATTCCAAACCAGTTTCTCTGGCTTTCCCCCTCAACACTCCCAGGTACCCGCAGACTATACCACCCACTCCACCTCCTGTTGTTGCCCTTAAACCCCCAATCCTCTCCTTCATTGACTGAGGATATCAGCACCTACTTCATGCCCTTTGTCTCCTCCCTAAATTTGGCAAACAGCCCCTCAATTCCACGTGGAGCATCCAGCCAACGCCTGGCCTCACACATGTCCTTGACCTTTTGTCCTCACCCCACCTCAGCCACCCACTCCCCCGCTAAGGCCACACAAGCAAATGAGCCACTTGTGAAGACCTGGTTTTTAGCATCCCACTCTCAAATCATTCAAGATCAGCAAGACTTCTAACCCATGGTGACTATTCACTGATCTTGCATTGTCCTCTCAGCCCCCCGCACCCAGCTTGAATAGTCTGGCACATTCTTGGATCCCTCCCTTACAAATACACTTGCCTCCCTCGCCCCTCTCTAGTTCACTCACCTGTTGAAAACCCTGATCCTGGGTAAACCTTGTCCGCTCTCTCCACACATATATTCCCCACAAGAAGGTGACCAATCAAATTGCGAGCTTTTTAAAATAAATAACATTGGCAGGATTAAAAAATGGAGTAACTGCTATAGAAAATAGTACAGAGGTTTCTCAAAAAATAAAAGTAGTACTATCATTTGACCCAGCAATCGCACTTCTGGGCCTATATCCAAAAGAATTGAAAGAGGGGTCATGAAGAAATACTGGTACACCCTTGTTCATAGCAGTATTATTCACAGTAGTGGAAGTGGAGACAACCCAAATGTCTACCAAAAGATTAATGGACAGACCAATGTGATACACACACACACACACACACACACACACACACACACATACATATGCAGTGGAATATTATATAGCCTTAAAAAGAAAAGAAATTCTGACACATGCTGCAATGTGGGTGAACCTTGAAGACATTATGCTAAGTGAAACAAGCCGGTCACTAGCAGACAAACACTGTAAGATTCCTCTATATGAGATGCATAGAGTAGTCGAATCCCTAGAAACAGAGTGGAATGGTGGTTGCCAAGGGGTGGGAAAGGGTAACGGGGAGTTGTATAATGAGTACAGGGCTTCAGTTTCACAAGGTGAAAGGGTTCAGGAGATCTGCTCACAACAGTGTGAATGTATTAACACTACTGATCTGTACCCTTTGCTTAAGATGCTAAATTTAACCTTGTGCTTTGCTACAGTAACAGAGCACAAAACGAACAAAGCCGTTGGGTGGGCTCCACTCGGTGGTGCTGAAGGCACACTCTCTCCTCTGAGCACAGAACGCCCCTCCCCACCCAGTATGCAGGTGGCAAGGCTAGGGTGCGGATTAGTCTCCCTGCGCTGGCAATGCCAAGCTTGATATTCACTCTAAACCTTAGAGTCAATGGAGGAAATATTAGAAGAATTTACTAAGGACCAGTTGGGTATTTCCCCATTCTCTCAAATATTATTCTCCAGCAAGTAACTGAAACCCAATAGCTTTCCTAACTCTGCCTCTCATGATTCATTCATGCTCATTTCTATGCAAACATCAGTTTCTCAGCTGGCAGTGATTTCATGAATTTTTAATTCACATGGAATGAGCCAGAGATTAAAACTTTAAACTAAGCCAACAATAGAGGATGGTGAGTGTCATTTCAATCCCTAGATTAAGAATCTCTGAATGAATTCCCTGGCATCGTCACATGAACCATTATCTGGAAATTATCAAAACAACTCCTCTGTGCGTTTCTGCCTTTGGAGTATTAATATAGATACACATATCTGCTTTGGCCTGGCTATGTGGCTCACTGGTTTAATATCAACCTGTGAACTGAGAGGTCAAGACTGAATTCCTGGTCAGGGCACATGCCTGGGTCTGGGCTCAGTCCCCCATGAGGGGTGTGCAGGAGGCACCCAATCAGTGATTCTCTCTCATCATTGATGTTTCTATCTCTCCCTCTGCCTTTTCTGAAATCAATAAAAACATATTTTAAAAAATACTTGCTGGTGGTTCCTTTCTCTTAAAAAAAAATACTACCAGCTTTGGGATCATTAAAAACAGTGAAACCAAAGACATTTCTTGTTACCAATCTTAATCTTGGAAAAACTTCAGGCTACCTGGCAAACAGTAACCAAGATCCCAACACCATAGAAAAGCCACAACAATGTGCGGCTTTATGACTAATAGGTGAGAAACTGATTTTAGCATAAATAAAATCAGACTAAAAATAAGAAAGTTAGATGAGAAAAGTTGAGAAATTATATCAAAATAGAATCCATATTTTAAAATTATTAATAAAATGTTTACATTCTTTTTTCTTTCTTTGTCTTTGAAATGTGGTATATATTTTATACTTATAACACCCCTTAGTATGAGACACAAATAAGTGCTAGAATGGCCACCAGTGGCTACCATTTTGGATGGTGCTACCACAGAGGAAAGAAATATGTCTGACAGGACAGGGACCAGCTCTTGAAATCTGAGCATATCTCTAGACTTTTGCACACTTCAGCATGTCCCCACCGTCTTCCTCAGTGACCGTCAGCCGCTCCTGGGGCTAGAGCAGTGTCAGGTCAACTGTGGTCCTAAAGGTACCATCATTTGAAATGTTACAAAATCAGTTTACTACCATTGTTTTCTTAAATTTTTCAACCACAGATCGACTCGCCTTTTTCCAAATTAACCTTACCCTAAGCAATGTCATCTGTGATGTCACAAATTTGACAACTTTTAATTATATTTGCCGAAAAAGCTAAAACACATGAACATATTTAACACTTAAGAAGTTTCATGCTCTTCCTAAAGCCAACAATGAACTAAACTAAAATGCATCCTTATTAGCGAATCAGTCATGGTGTCATCTCTCCAAAGCCTCCCGTTGGCATATGGATGTGAGATGATTACTTTCCGTGTCTCCTGGCACCCACCATTTAGACCCCGACCTTTGCCTGTTTGAGTCTGACAGAGCATCCCTACCACGAGTACCTTTCATCTGGGAGCCACCACAGACCACAGCCAGGGCCTCCTTCCTGTGTGCTCAGCTGCTCAAAACCTGCCCAGAAGGGTTAGAAACCTTGCCCTAATGACCAGTGTTGGCTCAGGCTCAGGGAGAACACTTAATAATTAATAATCATGGCAGCTAAGGTTTACTGAACTACATACCAAGCACTGATCCAAAGTGCACATGTGTGGGTGTTCAAGCATGTGTGTGTGTGTGTGTGTGTGTGTGTGTGTGTGTGTGTGTGTACCGTACTATGATGATTATATCTCACTCATACAGTTGTCACAATAACCCTAATGAAGAAGCTGCTGTTTTGCTGCTTTTCTGGATGAGGAAACGAGGCACAGAGCAGTTAGCAGTGCCCCACAGTCACAGCAAGAACAAGTCGGGGAAGCTGAGACTCAAAGCCACGAAAGCTCACTCTGGAACCCGTGCTGCTGTCACCCTGAAGATTCCAAACGGGATGAAGAAATGGAAGCTGGAAAAGACACATGTTTTATGGCCACAAACACAAATCCCTCAAAGACAACACTATCCCCCGCAGGACACGGAGAATGAGGCAAGCAACAGCCTCTGATAAGACAGTTAGGCAGACAAGTAGACTAAATTATAATGCCCTCAAGACGTCTGCTGGAAATCACCCTGGGGAACTCATTGTGCTCAGAAAAGAAGACTAAAGAAAATTCAAGGGAGCAAAGAATCCAATAACACAAGAGATAGAGGATGGGAGGACAGGCAGATTGACGAATCGATGGATGGACAAAGGAGCACAAAATGTTCACTCCAAACTCAAAAGCAGAAAGTATTAGAAAGGGACATCCATCACTCTGACCACTCGCAAATTGGCCCATCATATGGCTGACACACCAACCAGCCATTCTCAAAGACAAACCAGGACCTTATTCTTGTCTCTGGGACCAAAACTGCAGGGTAAGCCTCATTATGTGGCCTTCCTTAGGAGGAAGGCGAAGTCCACTTACAGGTACTCCCTGTGGGCAGAGTGCACAGCGGCCGCGTTGCTGTAGCGCCACAGGACGATCGCCGATGACAGGACGTCGAGGACGGCATCAAACTAAGAGAAGGAGACACGGCATTAGTGGCTTTCCTGAGTTAACAGGACAGGGATGAAGACACAAAGCAACGATTCTGTGAGTCAGAGCATCTGAGCAAATGACCTCAGAGCCAAGAGTGGGCCCTGGGGACTGGGAGCCAGGGGGACCCCACACGCCAGCTCCTCCTACTCAGATTCTGCACTGCGCCCAGGGCCTGGGAAACACGCTCCGTGGCCTGGTGCCTCTGCCCCCGGGGCCCTGGCTGCCAGCACTCTGCAGAAATGGGGGATCACAGGATCCTGACCCATGAAACTGGTTTCCCCACAGCAAGCAAAATCATCTCGGCATTCCACTGTGTGTCCCAAGTACAATATTGCGGGGAGGAATCTGTTTCTGGCTTCCAATAGGACTGTCCTACATGGAGGGGTGGTCACCCAAGGGCTCTGTGCTGTCTGCCAATGCTTTGGAATTGTATATAAAATTCAGAGCTTTTGTTTGAATGAATGAATGAATGAATGTATGAGGGAGGAGAGAGGGAAGTAAAGGAAGAGGAAGAGAGAGCATTGTAAGAAAGACAGTGAGAATATGTGTGTGTGTTGTGTATGTGTGAGAATGTGTTGTGTGCGTTGTACGTGATGTGTGCATGTATGTGGTGTGTATCTGTATTTTTGGAGAGGCAGTGCACTCCTTCTAAAGATTCTGAAAAGGTCTGCAGCCTAAAAAACCTTAAGTTTTCACAACAAAAGGGAGAAGTGGGTTTGGGGATAGGAACACACACCCTGAGTCACAGGGAACCCCAAAGCTGCACAGGAGGGTGTTGACAAGCATTCCCCTAGGGTCACTGTGCCACAGCACACTTTTCGCCTGGACAGTGACAAGCACCCAGAGGGGACGTGGGGAAGATCCGCCAAGTGTTCAGCATGCCCAGCCTGGGAAACACCTGAGACCCGTCTTCTCAGCAGCTCCCATCAGGAAGCAGGCTGGGGTCAGGTTCCCCGGGTTTCAACTGCCGACTAACTTACCCAGCAGCAGTGCCTAAAGTCCACACTTCTGCCTGCACAGCAAAGCCTTCACCCCGGTATGTGCCATTCTCTGACAGTCTTGGGGGGGGGGAGGGGGGCAGGGAGGGCAACAGCCTAAAACATCCTCGCCAACAGCTGTGGGCAATGCGGTCCCCTCATCTGTTCTGGAGGATTATACAGCTTCCTTGCAGCTCACTTCTGACAAATTCTAATCCCCCCAGAAGTGATTTCCATAAAAGGTGTGCTTGTCATGCAAAGCTCTCATCTGCTAACCACCCCCTCACTGAGGGTGAGACCCATGGGCTCAGGAAAAACATGCAAAACTTCATAAAAGTACATTTCAGGTTACTTACTGCAAACCCAAAAGCAGAGGCGCTGTACCTCATAACGGAGACAGCTAAAAAGAAAGAAAATATTGTTCAGAATATTTAAGACCTCGTGGATATTTTCTCTCATTCATGAGTATATTAACATATTTTGATCTGCCCTTTGAAACATCAATGGAAAAGTTCCAAGAGAAAAAAGTTAAAAATTAACCGTGGTTGTAAACTTTGAGAACTAAAAAGTGCAAAGAGTGTGGAGAACAGATTCCAGACTCCGCCTGCAATGGCGTCCCTCCCAGCATGCTCTGAGCGCCAAGGGGCCAGTTTCAGAGGGAAAATACTTAAGCAGTTGTCAGTCCAACGACCACTGAGACCTGGAGAATCTGGCAACTGGGATAGAGAGCTGGGGATGATATAAAACTTTCAAAGGAAAAGTGCAATCACCCAAACTGTCCCCTAATAAAGTAACTAGTGGTTTCTCCATGCACATGCCATTCATTGCCCATCAGAGTTTAAAATGTAGTGTAGACCTCAACAAAACTGCTTAGGAAAACAATAACAAATGATCTTAAATGACAGGTGTGTGCAAATGTAGATGTGACAATTATAATTTAAGCATTTATCCACATTCAAAAGTCAACCTTTGGAGGGTAAATCAATTAGGTAGCACTTCTGCCCAATTCTGTGATCTGTTCTATGGCCAACTAATGTTCAACTTCAAAGACTGGTCTCAATTTAACTTAATAAAGGCAGTTCTCGATATTTAACAAGCACAAGTCCACATACATACACACCATGGGTCAGCAGAGCTGTGGAGGGGACTGTCCTGGCCCAGGGGCTGCAGGTGCTCACTGGGGAGTAAGAGAGGTGGGGGTGTAGGACACAGAGGTCAGTGCTCCCACTCAGCTCACCACATGTCCCTTCTCAGGACCCTTTGCTCTGGTGTATCCACAAGGCCAAAAATGAGCCCTGGACAGCCCTGCTCTCCTTTGTAGCCCTGCCCTGAGCACAAGGGGTCACCTGACCCAAAGTGAAGAAAGCGTATTTCATTGTCTGTGAGTCAGGAATTGAATCGGAGAGAGTCTAATTGGATAAGTGATGCTGTTGGAATTGAAACTGGCAATCACTGGAACTGGGGTTGGCCGTGGTTTGCCATCAAGACTGAAGAGCAGAGAGAGAAGCACGGGTACCGTTTCCAAGCCTTTTCTGAGACGCGGCCCCATCCCGGTCCTCAGGCCGCGGAATGCAATCCATTGTATTGCTGACCCTCTGTTTCTGACAGGGGCCGCTCCAGTTGTCCCTGCTGATGCGCATGCTGGGCAGAGAGCAGGGCAGAGGCAGGTGCGTGCAGTGACCAACAGTAACTCTCACAGGCAATAGAGGCGGGCAGTGCAAGGGGCACCAGGCCTCCCCGAAGAGCTCCCTCTGCAGGCACGTGGGCATGTTCGCAACAGACAGTAGATCCCTCTGGGGTCGCCCTGAGCACCCAGATGCCCCTCGGGACACTGAGCCCGCCTGGCAGCAAGTGCTCACTCAGTAACTGCTAATTAAACTGTTAATTGACTTTTACAGAAACAAGTCAGAATGAGTATCTGGTTTTCCCTTTACAACCTGTTTGAGAACATCTAAGATCTGAGCCTTTTTTTCTCAGTTACTGGTTAATCAGCAGTGGGAACCTTTTAAACATCTATAGCAGTGGTCAGCAAACTGCAGCTCGAGAGCCACATGCGTCTTGAGAGCTGAGGTTTGCGGCTCTGTTGACTAATGAGTTTGCTGATCACTGCTAGAGAAAAACACTTAAAAAACATTTTAATAATGTGCTAATGTCTTTAACCTGAAGTCAAAACTTCTGGGTGAGGGTAATGCCTTAGCAGTGGTCAGCAAGCTCATTAGTCAACAGAGCCGCAGTTTGCTGGCCACTGGTGTATAGCGTTTTCCACGGATGCTGGGCGCACACAATGGATGAGGAAGAGCTTCCCTGGGAGCTCCTGCTCTGTCTCCGCCTGTGCCGCCCGCCTGGCACCGCCCCACGAGGGCACAGCCAGAAGAGCACCCTCACCTGCACTCCAGGCAGTGAGCCATCGCTCCAAAAGGTTATCTGGTGACCCCACACATGTATACACTGGGCTAGAGATTTCGGAGGTGGACACCCTCTCGATTATACAGAGAAAACAAGGGCCCGGGCTCAGAGACTCTGGACTCCAACAAAGGAGCTGATGGCTGAATGGTGGTACCTTTCCCTGACTCAGCCAGAGGCAATGAGCAGCATGTTCTCAACCACTCAGGGAGCCATGTCTGCGTGAGAGAGCACACCTGCCCAGTGGGACACTCACCCCGCTCCACCCCGGGCACCAAAGCCATGAGAGCAAGAGGGCTCCAGGCTAACCCCAGTCCCGCAGAGAAAGGAGGGGTTACCATGAGTCATTATTTACACGTTGGCTTCATGGAGTGTCTCCGGTGAGGTGAAAGGGAGGAAACGGCATGGTGAACCCAGGGTGCACTGACGGGTACGCTCATGGCCTTGGCTCAGGCAGCCTCCCTCTGTGAGCAGCTGCCCAGGCCCCACAATGAACACGAGCAAATGCTCATCACCACAGGACCTGGATGAAGAGGTCGGTGCCTTTTAGGAATTTCTGAAGCATGCAGAGTCAGGGGGTGTTCTCTAAGGTGACCAGACTTCCCGCTTTGGGCGGGACAGTCCCGCTTTTTAAGAATTTGTCCCACATCCTGTGGCGTTTTAAGAAAGTCCCGATTTTTCCCCTGGCCTGCGGCTGAATGTGACACATCCTGGGGTAAGGACAGTCTCTAAAGAAAGGGCTGGCTCAGACAGCCCCTCTCCCACAGAAAGAGAGCAGACTGTGAGGTTTCATCAGGACGCTTCCCACTTCCTTCCCACTGAGTATGGTTCCTCTTAAAGAACAGCAAGCTCGGCCCAAAGGACACACCAGGGCAGAGAGGTCCAGGTCGGTGCCCCTGGACCCCCTCCCCCCCAGGTACGTGGCCAAGGGCAGCTGAAAGCCACCCCGGCTCCGGGGTCGGACAGAAATCCAGCAGTGCCTGTAGGGCAGGCTGGCATTTAACAGCGGCCAATAGACAACTGTGCTGCAAGCTGGCACGGTCTGTGAGAGGCAGTCAACGGGGCAGCCATGAGGGCAACTTTCCTGTGCAAACTGCTCTGGTGGAGGCCGGGGCCAGAGGGCGGAGGATAATGAAGTCTGGTGGCTGTCAGCCCTCAGCGCAGGGCCTGCTTAGCAAACACCACGGCTGCTCTGCGATGAGCGCTGACTGTCAGCAGCCTCCAAAGTCACCTGGGTGGTGCTGCTGCAGGAAGCCCCGAGGGGAATTTGCAAGAACGTTTCTGCTACTCACACTTTTTTATTTTCCTGCCTTTAACTGTTATTATTACATTGATGGCGGTGGCATTGGTCAACATGAACATAAAGGTTTCAGGCGTGGATTTCCATGTTACAAGATCTGTGCTTTACTCCTCACGTTTAGAACTTGCCTTTCTTGCTCAGAATTTAAGCATGCTCTTAGGGAGCCGGTGGCCTTCAGCAGCGTCTGAGGCTTGTGATTACATCCAGCGGCGAGAGTGGATGGCTGCCATCTGATCAGGCTGGTACTATGCACCCAAAAGTGTGTGTCCTTAGGATGTGAGTGATTCAAAAGTGCACAATTCAACATCAGCCCATGAGACTCAGTCCTGAGTTTTTGCTGAAAATATTGGGAACGGGATGTCTTTCTAAGAGGAAAGTGTAGCTAGAGTTGGTAGGATAAAAACAGAGCTTCAGGTAGCAATTTTGCCCTCAATGAGAAGAGGCTGCCTGAGAATAAAGCCAACACAGAGGAAAGAAGATATTAAAGATACGAGACACAAACCAGACCACTGATGACATGGGCTAAGCCTCTGGAATCAGCCCGACCTGAAGTTCCTCCCCTGCATTTTTCTCAAATACATCAGCCAATAATTTGTCTTAATTTGCTTAAGCCAGTTTAAATTGAGTTTGTATCACTTGTAGCAAATGTCTTAATACAATAAACCTTGACACAGTAATCCCATGTCCAAGAATCTCTTTTAATGTCTAAGGAATGGAAAAATTCTTTAAACCCAAAAGATTCACAGCATGTTTATGTAATTTATAATCACAAAACACAATCTAAATGTCCAGCAGTAGGATGATGGTTAAAGTATGGTTCATTCAAAAATCTGTGCACCTGAAACCTGTATAATTTTGTTAATCAGTGTCACCCCAATTCAATCAATAAAAAGGAAAAAATAGGATGCATGTAGCTATTTTTAAAATGTTTACAAAAAGTAGTGTTGTTTAATGCTTACATTCGCATATTAGTTAGAATAATGCTATTGATGATAAACAGGTGACATGTTTGGTGCCATCAGTACTGGGAAATGATGGGTCTGACTAATAGAGGTGCAGGGGTCAGGACAGGCTTTACAGAGAAGGTGACATTTGAACAAAGACTTAAAGGAGGTAAGGGAACAAGCCATGCAGTCACTTAGAGGAAGAACCTTCCAATGGGAAAAGTCCGTGCAAAGGCCCTGAGGCAAAGTGCCTGGCATATTTGAGGCTATTCAGCAAGATGGAAGAGACGAAAGTTATCCTGTATAATAAAAGCCCAATGACTGAAGAGCAGAATGACTGGCCGACCAGTCGCTATGATGCACACTGACCACCAGGGGGGGGCAGATGCTCAACACAGGAGCTGCCCCTGGTGGTCAGTGTGCTACCACAGTGGGAGCACCACTCGGCTGACAGAGACGATTAGCTGCTCCCACTGCAAACCCCAGGCCAACAGGCAGGAACCTGGGTGCAATTGCTGTCTCCTCGTCCCAGGCTCCTCTCTTCCTCACTCCCTGCCACCTCCTCTGGATGCCCTCAGGCTGCTAGGCTCACAGAGCTGGCCCCGGAGGCAGGGAGGCAGTTCGTCACTGCTGCAGGTCTGAGGCCTATTCCACTGCCTCTCAGTGCTATTGTCCCTGGGCCTGGCCCCGACCCGGTCTGGCTCCATGAAAGATGCCTGACCAGGGAGCAGCCACTCAGAGGATGTGTCCACA